CCTAATTTCACATCAGCAGTGAAGAGCTCTTGGGAGGTTCAAGTACAACAGGGTTGGGCAGGGTTTAGATTGTTGAGGAAGCTTGCCTCTCTCAAAGCCAGTCTTAGAAGATGGAATGTTGAGGTGTTTGGTCATGTGGAAACAGATCTTAAGAAAGCGGAAGAGGATTTACACGCGTTGGATTTGGTGGCTGAAGAAAGAGCTTTGTCAGAAGCAGAAGCAAAGTCAAGGAGAGTAGTCAGGGGGCTAGTGTGGAATCTGCATAGAAGGAAGGAGAGTATGTGGCATCAAAAATCTAGAATGCTGTGGGCTAAGTGTGGGGACAAGAATACTAGGTTTTTCCACTTGATGGCCAGTTCTAGGCAAAGAAGAAACCTCCTTGATTCAGTGGTGGTTGATGGGGTTAGAGTGGTGGAACCTAACCCAATGAAGCTAGCTGTTCATAGACATTTCTTGAAATTATTCTCAGAGTCGTGGAGTTCTAGGCCTAAGCTGCGTGGCCCTTTCGCATCTATCTATTCTGCTGGGCAGGTAGAATTCTTAGAAGCAGGTTTTTCGGAACAGGAAATTTGGGCTGCAGTTAAAGATTGTGATGGTAACAAGGCCCCGGGCCCGGACGGCTTTAGTTTGACCTGTTTCCAGAAATGCTGGAAGATAATGAAGGGTGAAGTTCTTCAATTTATGGATGAGTTTCACTCTAATGGGAAGATTGTCTCAGGCCTTAATAGCTCTTTCATCACCCTCATTCCCAAACGGGAGGATCCTTGTGAGTTAAGTGACTTCAGGCCCATTAGTCTCGTTAATTCAGTTTACAAAATTCTTGCAAAAGTGCTATCAAAAAGGTTGAAAAGAGTATTGCCAGGAATTATTAGTGAAGTTCAAACAGCTTTTTTGGGTGGCAGATCTATCCTTGATGGTGTTCTGATCGCGAACGAAGTAGTACATTGGTGGAAAGCTGCAAAAATGAGAGGCATCATTTTAAAGCTAGATTTCGAAAAGGCATATGATTCAGTTAATTGGGAGTTCCTATTATCTATGATGAGGAATTTCGGCTTTGGGGAGAAATGGTTGGGTTGGATCAAATCATGCCTCTCATCATCTAGAGTATCCGTCCTAGTTAATGGATCTCCAACAACAGAATTTGCTCCTCAGAAAGGGCTCAGGCAGGGAGACCCACTATCCCCTCTTTTGTTTAATATTGTAGCTGAAGGTTTGAACATTTTGATTGAAAGAGCAAAGGAGTTGGGGCTGGTTAAAGGAGCTACTGTGGGGCCTACCGAGGTGAAATTTTCTCATCTGCAATTTGCGGATGATTCAATAATATTCTGTGAGGCGGCCAGAGGTGAATTGGAGCACATCAAGAGAATTTTGCGCTGCTTTGAGGTGCTTTCCGGCTTAAAGATTAATTTCCACAAAAGCTTGTTGTGTGGTGTGGGTTTACCTGATGGTGAGGTTAACCAGTTTACCTCCATCTTCAATTGCCGTAGTCAAAAGCTTCCTTTTAGTTATTTGGGTCTACCTTTAGGGGCCAACCCCAGTAGAAAAAGTACATGGCAACCTGTGATTGAGAAGGTGAAAAAGAAGCTAGCTAACTGGAAGAGGAAAGTTTTGTCTTACGCTGGTCGTTTAACTCTGATCAGGTCAGTCCTCTCTTGTATGCCCATTTATTTTCTATCAATTTTTAAAATCCCTGTGGGAGTAGCTAAACAGATTGAAAAGATTCAGGCAGCATTCTTATGGGGCAAATCAGATCTTAAGAGGCAAGTCCACTTGGTGAAATGGGCGGATTTAACAGTGGATAAGTCACAAGGGGGTCTGGGGCTTAGAAGTCTAAGAGAAGTCAATGATTGCCTCCTGTTAAAATGGTGGTGGAGGTTTGGTGTGGAGGACAAAGCTTTATGGAAACAAGTAGTAAGGTGCAAATATGGACTGGGTGCTAGTGGCTGGGTACCTTCCATTCCAGAGTCTTGTTCAGTGTCAAGAATCTGGTCTGATGTTGTTCATCTTGGGGCATCTAATCCTGAACTGATGGAGCACTATTTATCTAATTTCAAAATTCTTGTAGGAAATGGGCAAAGACTTCTTTTTTGGGAGGATAAGTGGTTATCTAATCTATGCCTTAAGGCGGAATTTCCCAGACTATACAGGCTGTCAGTGGAAAAGGTTTGCTCACTTTCGCAGATGTATCATAATAGAGGGTCGGCACTTGAGTGGAAATTTCTGTTTAGTAGATCTCTGTTTGCTTGGGAGGAGGAGGAGGTAGCTAGGTTGCAAGGGGTTCTAAGGGGCACACTTGTTCTTACAGACCAAGCAGAGGACTCATGTTTATGGATGGCAAATCCTTCAGGATCCTACTCCGTGGGTGGGTCTTGGAAGTGGTGGAAGCTGTCTAAAGGTCCAGTCCTAAGTGTCACCGATATGTTGTGGAAGAACTCTGCTCCACCTAAGGTAAAATTCTGCAGCTGGTTAGCTTGGAAAGAAAGACTTAAAACTTCTGTGCTTTTGAAAAGGATTGGTGTGTTGAATCCTGAAGCGAACACAGTGTGCCTGCTGTGTAAAACAGAGGAGGAGTCTCTGAATCATCTGCTGCTGTCGTGTCCTGTGGTTTGGAAACTATGGTCAGCCATGGTTAAATGGTGGAATCTGGTCTGGGTGGTTCCAGGTACAGTCGAGGGTGTGCTGAATTGGTGGGCTGGTTATAAATTTAAGAAGGAGATCCAACCATTGTGGAAAGTTGTCCCCGTAGCAGTTGTGTGGTCGATTTGGAAAGCTAGGAACGATTGTCTTTTTCACCAAAAGAATGTTGAAGGTTATGATTTGGCTGAGTTGGTGAAGGTGAGGATAGCTTTATGGTGCAAGCATAGCGGTGGAGGGTTGCAGTACTCTGTAGAGGACATAATTTTTAATCTCGACAGCATCAAAGTCTGAGTGTGGTTCGCAGGTTTGCAGGTTTTGTGAGTTGCAGAGTTGTAGTTTGTAGGTTCAGTATCCTGTGTTTTGCTGTGTTCTGTGTATTCTGCAATACTGTGTCGTAGTTATGCTTGTATTTCAACAGCTCGTGGGTCTCAGAAGTATGTAGTTGGAGTCTGCAACTAGGAAGCTCCTTGCCGGACTGCTTCTGTTATGGTCTACTAAGCTGTGTTCTTGCTGGGTGTTTCATTGGGTCGAATGCCATTGTGTTTGGGTCTATGGGTTGCATGCACACCAGGATCCTACCTGGCTTTTGGTGGCAGCACCTTTTGTTTTTATAGCAGTACCTTTTGTTTCTCTTTTGTTGGTTCCTCACCAACGGGCGCTTAGAGCTTCGTGTTAGCTCTAGGCTCCTCTTTATTGATGTACCCAATCATACTTTGTATGCGTCATCAATAAATATTTATTTGCCGATCAAAAAAAAAAAGGAGATGAAAGAGAGGAGATGGAGCGTGAACTGTGAAACAGTGAAGGGAAGGAGGTGGAAGGAACAAGAAAATGAAGAAAAGAAAGGAAAATAAAAGGGCAAAAGACTTGTATATCACTCACGTCCTGTCACATACACTTAAATTAGTGCATGTTACACAAACAGTTAAGTTTGATAGAATTCGTTATTTTTGCATTTTATTCCGAACTGTAAGGAGGTTATATGTATATTTCAAAAATCATAGAGAGGTAATGTGTTTCCTAGCTAAACCAAAAGGAGGTAAAGTGTAATTATTCCCCCTCCCCTTTTTGGTCTTCAATTAACTATTTTTTACAAATATTTTATTTTTTAAGGGCATCTAAAAGGGAAAAAAAAATTTAGTCAAATATGAAAAAGTTTACTAAAAATAACTAAAAAAATGAAAATTTTAAAAAGTAATCAAAAACTAACCAAACACACTTTCTTCTGTCTCCATTAAATATTAGTTTTTTTGGTGAGAATGCAAAAGAAGTATACAGAATTCCATTGGGCTGTCCAAAATACTATTGTGATGACTAACAGCAGGAGGAGCCATCAAACTATAAGAATGGTAAGGAAGGAATTACAAACCAGCAATTACCATTCAGCTAAAGCTCTTATAGAGTTCCACCTTATATAAGAACAGGGCAAGCCCTAACATTCATGGGGCCTTAGGTAGGTTTTGAAAGTGTGGCCCTCCTATATATATTTTTTTATAAAAAAATTATAGATAAAATGATAAGTTACCAATAATTTTTTTATTATTTAGTAGCTACAAAAAATTTCCTTACACATAATTATTAAAATTTATTTTCATATATTAAGATACGAAAAAATCATTACAAATACTCAAAAGAGATAAAATAGTGTCTTCTTGTTTTATAATTTAGCAATAATCAACACAAACAACATAATTCACTGATATCTGATAACAAAATAATTACGTTATTGTAATATGATATCTAATACCACAATCATAATTCACACAAATTACAATCCACTAATTATTTGACAACAAAACACAAATTATTGGAAAAAAATGAGAGAAAAAACTAAGGCAAATTTTTTTAATTAAATTATGAGAAAGAAAGAGGGCAAAAAAATTAGGGCAAAAAAATTAAGGAAAAGAAAATAGGGTAAAATTATTCAATTATAATATGATAAAGAGAGATGCAAAAAAATTAAGATAAAATTATTTATTCTATTAAAATCTTGACATTAGACTCTAATTGTACTCATTATATCATATATATTTGTTCGGACTAATTATATAAATTTTTAATTGGGCCTAACAATGATTATATATATATATTTTTAATTTGGCCCAACAGATTTTTTTGAGCAGCCTTTTAGATTGGGCCTCATACAATAAAACAATATTAGGCTTTGAACTTTTAATGTAATATAAAACTAACAAATTTGGGAGGCCCTAATGTCACGACCCAAACTCGTCTCTATAGGTTTAGCATCGTAACTGACCAGTAATCCTAAGATTACCGAATGCCTATGAAACAAATTCATAATATAAGGGACTAGCGGAAGCAAATATTAAAATACAATGTTCATAGAACTGTACACATTTATGTGGAACAGAAAATTTAAACTTATATTTACATAGAAAATGACGTTAGCCGTACATACAAAAGATACATGAACTTGTCCAAACAAAAGAAAAAGAAAAAGAAAACTTAAAACTTGTTCATGAACACAATCCGCGGAACTTGACCACAAAAAGACTTCTGGAACCTTCTCGAGAGGCGCACAAGTTGGCTGACACAAACCGATCCAGACTGGAAGTCTCAAGTCTGGTCACACGTCTAATCACCTATATACATAATATAAACAGTGAGTTGGAACCCAATGAATAACAGAGTAAAGGTTTAATGAATGATGTTCATAACAGATTCAGAAATCAGAATTTAGATCAGAAACAGATTCATATACATATTCAGCTTTGTAAGTAGTCAAACGTGGTACATCCATTAGAGCTAACAGATTAGATTGGTCATAAAGACCTATATACAGAGCAGATGGTCATAAAGACCCATATACAGAGCAGATAAGTGGTTATGCATAACCAATTCCATAAATGGAACCCAAGTGAAACCCTGGTACCGGGTAACAGATAATAGATACACATGATGCTAAGAATGCCACGAATACATTTCAGAAAATTAGACATTCATTCATAATTCACAAAATAGCATTTTAGAAAACATTATATCAGTCAGAAAATACTTAGAGTCAAACACAGCTTTACAGAGTTGTTACACAGATTGCTCCAAAGTGAATTGGGCGAATTAGATAGATCAGATGGACTATGGCGCGTGACCTACACAAACACGTGACAGATACACATTGAAACACACGCTCGGTAAACACTTAACTTATTACATTTCTTTCTAGGTGTGTTTCTAACCCTTATCCTCATTATTGTAACCTAAATCATGGCTTAAGAATGCCTTAGATGCAATGAAGATGCAACAATGTACTTTAAACCACTTTGCAAAATTTCATAAAATAGGGCAGTTTGCTCGAGCGCAACTTTGGTTGCTCGAGCGGTGTGAAAAGTCTATAAAAGTACTGAGAGATCTCATTTTACGCTCAAGCCAACATATTAGTTGCTCGAGCCAAGATCGAAAATAAAGGGTGGTCGCTCAAGCGGTATCGCGATTGCTCGAGCCAACCATCAAACTCTGCAAAACTTCTGAGAGCTAGAAATGTACACACTCGAGCGATGGTTTCTTCGCTCGAGCAAACTCTATGAACTTGGGAATTTCCAGATTTGTGTTCTAAGTTCAAAACTCAACTTTAACACATCAAAATTGGCCAAAACTTGAGAAAACACTTGAAAACTTGTATAACATCATGAATTGAAGATCATTTCGCAAAATCAAGCCCTCAAAACATGCCAATTCTTCAAAACCAACCCTTAAACTTAATGTATAATACATGCATGCATTGTTTTGAGTTCAAACTCTTTGAATCATGAACAAATGAGATGTTTTGTACAAAATCATGTTGATTTCTCAAAATTTAACAAAAATAATTCCATGCATGTGAGATATGAGGTGGAATTCAAGCTCAAACTTCCTGAATTATGCATGCAAGCTTATGATGATCTAAAATTCTACATTCTTAACTTATTTCTCATGCTAGTCTCTTACTTCACTTAAATTCCCATATTTGATGTTTAAATACATAGTTTATGAGTTAAATTCTTACCTAAACTCCTCAATTGGACTCTATGTAACAAATTCCTTGAGTTTCCAAGCCAATTCCTTAATCTTTCCCTTCAATCTCCTCTTCTCCCCTTGAATTGATCTCTCTCCCTCACTCTCCCTTCTTCTACACGTTTTTGAGCTCAAAATGGTGATTAGAGTGTGTTCTAGAAGTTATATTGGCCTTACATAGGTCCAATTAGCTTAGGTTAATTAATTGTGATTAAGGGTAATTAATCCTCCTCGATTTTAATTAATTTATTTTAATTATTTGGATCCGAATTGAATTCTAATTAAACTTACGCTAAAATTCTAAAAATTCTAAATTATACGTTGACCTAGTCAATTTTATGTTCGGATGCCGATAAGGCCTTCAATTTCAGAACAAAGCAAAAATTCAAACATATATCCCTATAACTGACAAATACAAACACAAACACAAATACCACACGAAATGCACAATTAACTCATAATTCATCTTTAAACATCTGTTAACAGTCTTAATTACAGATTAGTAACTAATTATGGATCGGGGTTGTCACACCTAGACATAGGCCCTAGTGGCCTTAGCCTAGGGCCGGCCTTGTATAAGAACCTCTAAGGGTTAGAACAAGGATTTAATGCATTATCTTTTTATACAATATCCATCAGGGGATGCTGGATCCAATGCGAAGAGGACTAAAAAGAGAGAGAACAAGGCCGAGCCTACTATCAATCCAGAGATTGTGTAATGCTACATAATATTGTTGAGCTGCTTTTTTAATATTTAGAGGCCTATTTTCAGTCAGAATGACGCCTTTACAAATTATGCAAGTCTGCTAGATCCAATGCGAAGAGGACTAAAAAGAGAGAGAACAAGGCCGAGCCTACTATCAATCCAGAGATTGTGTAATGCTACATAATATTGTTGAACTGCTTTTTTTAATATTTAGAGGCCTATTTTCAGTCAGAATGACGCCTTTACAAATTATGCAAGTCATTATACTTATTGTTAAAAGTACGTAATTTTACAAACATCAAAAGCTTTTTCTAGTTTTGGTTTGTTTTATTCTACTTTAGTGACTTGTGTGCCTTGAAAATCCAAAAGCATCAACCTATTATTCAAGATTTGTTATGTCATATCTTTAAATGCAAGTGTAACATTGAACATATATTAGGGGATCCCTTAGATAAATCATACATTGACATTCCTTCTCTACTGCCTCCAACCCTAAAAAGGATGGACACGTAAATTTTTGAAAAATGCAAGACATGACACGTTAGGGACACGTGTAAGACATATAATTTTATATATTTATTACATGTCGTATTTTTAAATATTTGATATTAATTTTATGAAAAATATTTAATTTTATCAAATTTATCAATCTTAGGTATGCTATTTTAGTAAATATATATATAATTTAATTGTTTTTGAAAAAAATGGTCTTCGGCGTGTCCCCAATGTGTCCTCAGCGTGTTGCAACGTATCCATAGCGTGTCCCAAGTGTCCCAACATGTCCAATACGTATTTGGAGCATGTTCGGTGCATGTTCGTGTCTGACACCTGTACGTCATCTCCAAAGAGGTGTCCATGCTTCATAGCTCCAATCTAAATTATTGTCAGCCTTCCTTTTCTCCTAACAATACCTTCACCTTGAAATAAGTCAACACCGTGTATGGGCAGCCATTGGTTTTGTTTCACTTGGTAAAATGCAAAACATATTAGATGCTTGTGTCCTCAGCGTGTTGCAACGTATCCATAGTGTGTCCCAAGTGTCCCAACATGTCCAATACGTATTTGGAGCATGTCCGGTGCATGTTCGTGTTTGACACTTGTACGTCATCTCCAAAGAGGTGTCCATGCTTCATAGCTCCAATCTAAATTATTGTCAGCCTTCCTTTTCTCCTAACAATACCTTCACCTTGAAATAAGTCAACACCGTGTATGGGCAGCCATTGGTTTTGTTTCACTTGGTAAAATGCAAATCATATTAGATGCTTCAACACATTTTTTCTCCATCTGCTACAAGTGATAACTACCATTCCTCTTTGATGATAGCTTCCCATCATCAATTCAGTCTGGAATAATCATTTTAGCAACACCATTTTCTTCAAGCTCTTTCTTTACTCCCCAAAAACCTATGTCACAGCATTGCTACTAGTTTAACAAATATTTCACCTCATTTAACGTGAGGTACAACAACAATACTCCAGAATGAATCTTCCCATTTCATCCAAAACCATCAATCAGGTCCTGTTTTATACCCCATCCTTATAGATGATTTATTAGTTATGTCATTTTTTCAACCACATTGGCATGTTTTGAGCCAATAGCCACTTATGTACAGATGCTATCACTAATTACTCCTAATTTGATAATAAATTAAGTATTAAACACACATCCTATGACTAAGAGGCATCATCTGCTTGAAAAATAGACAATCGAGACTGGCAAAATTTGAATTTACTCACAATTTCAAAGTTGATAGGATCCATCTCCTTGAGCTTCTGCACACGGCCTTGTGTGTCTGGATCAAAGACACTTCCCATGAAGCTATAGACTTCAGCAAAATCTGGTATACCTAAAAAAAAAATTAACTGAAAAGCATAAGTGTTTGAGAGGAATAACAAATGAGTTATTTTATTCATGAGTTTTACGTAGTTGAATAAATGAATACTACGTCAGCCAGGCAAACAGTACTCATGTTAACATAAACCAAACAGGTATGGGCATGCTTGCTAGTACTCCAAAATAATGGATATTTTCAAAAAGTGGATGCACCTGCACGCAAGTCCATGTAGCATAGTAGGGTGAGGAAGAAGGATAAATTCATAATTGATATACAAATGAGCAATATAATTGCTTCACAACTTTTATAGTCTCTATCAACCATCATTATTGAAAATTTCGTTGGGCAATTAAGTGGACTCATACTGATAAAAACTCACAGATCAAACAACCGCAATAACCAAAAGAGAAACAATCCAAAACTAGTATGTTATCACCATGGAAAATTCTTTCAGAGTAACATTTTCCAGTATTGCCAAATCTTAGGAACTGAAAAAAAAAGGTTCCCTAACATGTTGCACTACAAGTACAACAACACAAATAGGGCAAGTAAGATAGGAGAGCACTAACATACAAATTAGATAACAAGTATCTAAAGCGCATAATATAAATAGAAAAACATTGTGAACAGAGCAAGTTGTGCCACTTTAGTATAGAGCTGCAAGTCTAAACTTCACCATGATAGACTAATTTAAACCAATCATCAATACAGTTGAGAAGATTACCATGAAACAATGAACCTGGTTTCCCTTGCTTTGATAATTCAGAACTTGATATTGTTCTACTCAAGCTTCCGATGCCATCAATGCCGCTGTTACTAATCCTTGCTACCCCCTTCGATCCAATATCAGCTGAAGCAGTAACATTGTATGCCATAACAAGTATAAGAAAGTTCTCTCAAATAAAAAATATACATATACCTATGAATAAAAAATATTCATCCTGGGATAGCATGATTCCACCTGATGAAGAGTGTATGAGCATGGAAATGTCAGCCCATGGAGAATATCCGGGTGCAAGGGAATTCAACAAAGAAGGTTAAGCTATGAAAGCTTGCAATGGTGCTAAAACTGCCAATTTTTAAAAGAAATAGCATGTCAGAATGACCAAAATTCAAATAAAATCCTCTGCCATGTGAAATTCATCGTCTTCATGGGACAAACAATTTTTTGGTACCTTTTGCAGGTAAGGATGAGCAGCTTTGCGCTTAGGTCGAGGTGGTGGCACATGTGCTATAGTATCATTTTTTTTGGACCTTCAAAAAGTATTTTTGGGCATGACTTCAGATCTGCAAATGGAATTATTTAGCCAAGATATATAAAGAGCCTGCACTGATAAATTGCATAAATGAACATTCTTCGGATGTTGGAATTGGAAATATCCAAAAGCTAATAACAGAAGTTAGGCAACAAAAAGAAAAAGTGGTAATACAGAACAATGACACAGAAAAAAAAAAGACAGGGAGAAGAACAATAACATCCAACCACAAAAGAGTAGAAGAAAGAAAGTAATGAAGTTCCTCATCAAGGATAATTAAGTTTTAGGGGCTTGATAAGTTCTGAAAATCGAATGATTTAAAAGCAGTTTCAGATCATTTGGTCATGCTGATTCTTGGACTATCCCATTTCTCCAATATTTACTCTTAAATGTGTCTTATCTATAACACTGAAATTAGAATGCTAAAGCCACCCTTAACCGAACAACACAGCATGGTGGAAACTATTTACTTTATTGTCCAGTAGACCCATGCAACAATAAGCGACCACAACTTGCAGCATGCTAAGGTACCATTGTCTAACCCTATGCCGGGGCAGGCCATAACTGGTTGCCTAATACCTACATAAGCTATTGATAATCCAGAATGGCAAGGAAACACCTAAATTGTACCAGAGGCAACACACAAGCATTGACTAAAATTCACTGAGTAAACTTCATAGCTAAAGAGAAACAACTAAATTACTAATGTGAGGTGTTTTATTGCACGACATAAAAGCACTTACATGTGCAACCTATTCAAAGTTGTTAAGGACATAAATAAATAATATTAATAAGGTCTGTAAGATAAACAAGTGCAAAGTACCAAACACAAATAAATAAACAAAGAAAATGCACTAATTGTGGCATGAGGCAATAGATGAAGTATAATATAGAAACTGCAATCGCTGACTGTCTAGCTTGAATGGAAAGCTGTCAATATTGGCTAAGCTCATGCATAGGAATAAGAAATACAGGGTAAAGATACAGATAGTCAATGAAGCTTAGTTCTGTGAATATAGAGGATGCCAACATGTAAGTTGATAAAGATTAGAAGAAAAAAAAAATCAAATTAACGTAAGGATGATGTGAACTAAACGTGGAATATATTGAGTCTACCAATCACCTAAAAGAAAAAAGAAAAAAGAAATAGATAAAAAAAAACCCCAGAACATTTCAAAGAGAGTCATGAGCTTCATTACTGCTCAATCAGATTCCAACAGTTTTTATATTAACCGGATAATCAACAAATTCATATAATGACATCTTCAATTTAAAAATAAGAAAGTCATTATAGACTTCACAACATGATGATATAAGCACCTGAATCACCGTCTTTGAACCAACAAAATCTTCAATTTTTTTCCAGTCACGGTCAAACCTGAATAACCCAAACGATATGTCAAATAATTGAATTCAAAACATAATTTATGCAGTAAAGGTTCTAATAGCCCAAGAAAAGAAAGGACATATAGGTCATGTTTCTTTCAAGTTCCCACAAAGTAAAAAACAGCAACAATTCACCCCACTATAATCATAACAATGGCCAAAGTAAAGGAGAAATTGGAAGTGAACCTTGCATTATAACGGTTCCCAACAGAACTAATCAACCAAATCCATGTCTCATCCAATCCAAATTTACTAAACAACCTGTACCATAGTCACATAATTGATGGTCAAACAATCCAAATTAGAATGGTCAAGACCATAGTTGTCAAATCGGGATTCGTATCGTGAATCGAAATGGCCTTGTACCAAATCGTGAATCGAATCATAAATCGTAAAGATTCGGTCACTTTTTCTAAATTACTTAAAAACATACATCTACACATTTAGATGTTAAATATATCTTATAAATATAAAATATTTAGACTTAAATCAATAAAAATGTTATTTTGAATAATAAATCACGTAGTTTAATAGGTAAGAAGTTAACAAAGGTTCCTATATAAGATCACCATCTTACATTTTTTCTTTTTTAGATATTTCTTATCAATCTTTTTTAATAAAGATAATAACCAAATAGACAAACTATCAATTTCCAAAGTAACAATAATTAACAACAATGTTGATATTTGGACAATAAGCATATATACTTTCTAAGTAACGGTGAGCAAATAATAAGAAAGAATTATTTAGAATCCTTTATTTTAAAGTGTAAAACATTTTAAAAAGTATAACTGACCTCATACATGTAATATTCAATTTAATAAAATAGCAATAGATAATTCATAGTGTAACTTTAATCTTAAATATCTTTAAAAGATATATTATGATTTTTTAAAAGGAAAAAAATGAGAAAAAAAATGTTAAAAATATGTTGGGTCTGATTGAATCTGATTGGATCTTATTAAAAACTCCATGATCAATAAATACAACAAATCGTGTATATATATTGGTTATTTGATATTAAACGCTATAAGAAGTTGTATTATGTCATTTTCACTAAAATGATGGAGAAAAAAAGAGACGAAAATATGTCAAACGCAATAATTTCAAAATTTGCATGAATCGTAAAAAGTGTATCGAATCGATTGTGAATCGTGCAATTCACTAAAGATTCACATCCAAAATAGTTTCAACCATAGATTTGTATCAATTTTACAAAAATTGTGAATCGAATTGCAAATCGTAAGATTCTGATAACAGAGGTCAAGACTAAAATCATCTACACCATGTTTGTTTGATGAAAACAAAACTTAGGGTTGATAATGATATCACACCCCCTATATATTAATTAACCCAAGAAGATTACAAGAAAAGAATCAAACATATAATCTAAATAAAGAAACAAACATATAATCTAAATAAGGAAATAAATTCTAACATATACTCTAACACTCCCCCTCAAGCTGGTGCAAAGATATCTCTTATGCCCAGCTTGCCAAGAATTTCATGAAAAGGTTTACCTCCACCTCCCTTGGTGAGGATATCTGCAAGTTGTCCACCAGACTTGACAAATGGAGTACATATTGTGTTGCTAGTGAGTTTCTCTTTGATGAAGTGATGATCAATCTCAACATGCTTTGTTCTATCATGTTGAACCGGATTGTGAGTTATGTTGATGGCAGCCTAATTATCACAATATAGTCGCATGGAGTCTGTTTGGCCAATTCCTAGATAACTCAATAACAACTTGATCCATAAGAGCTCACACACCTTGTGCCATAACTCTAAACTCAGCTTCTGCACTAGACCTGGCAACCACATTTTGCTTCTTACTTTTTCAAGTAACCAAATTACCTCCAACAAAGGTACAATACCCTAAAGTGGACCTCCTATCAGTTACTGATCCTGCCCAATCAGCATCTGTATAAGCTTCCAAACTCAGATGATCATGTTTAGAAAAATAAAGACCTTTTCCACGGGAAGATTTCAAATATTTCAAGATTCTCATAACTGCATCCAAGTGTATTTCACGAGGAGCATGCATAAACTAGCTAACCACACTAATAGCAGTAACAATATCAGGACGAGAATGAGATAAGTAAATGAGCTTACCCACTAGTCTCTGATAACTCCCCTATCCATGGCTACTCTCTCACTATCATCACTAAGTTTCTGATTAGGCTCCAAGCATCCATGTTTCCTTCAATAGGTCAAGAACATATTTTCTCTGACAAATGAAAATTCTATCTTTGGATCTAGCCACTTCAATCCCCAGAAAGTATTTCAGCTTCCCCAAGTCTTTGATTTCAAACTTACTTGCCAAATACTTCTTTAGTAGAGGGATTTCCTTAACATCGTCTCCTGGAAGCACTATGTCATCCACATATACAATGAAAGCGGTAGTCTTACCATGAGAGGAATGTTTAACAAACAGAGTATGATCAGCCTGACTCTGTTTGAAGCCATATTTCAGCACCGCCTGAGTAAACCTCTCAAACCAAGCCCTAGGGGACTGTTTGCGGCTATATAATAACTTTCGAAGTTGACACACCTTACCCTTAGTTTGAAGAGTTTCAAAACCAAGAAGAATGTCCATATACACCTCCTCTTCTAGGTCACCACGCAGGAAAGCATTCTTCACATCAAACTGATGAAGTGGCCGATCCAGATTAGCTGCCAGAGAGAGTACTCTGATTGAATTCATCTTTGCAACTAGAGCAAATGTCTCTTGATGGTCCACCCCATAGGTCTAAGTAAAACCTTTTGCCACAAGTTGAGCCTTATACCGCTCAATTCTGCTTTGTGCTTCACAGTATACACCCATTTGCATCCCACAGTTCGTTTGCCTCTAGGTAATTCAGTCAAATCCCAAGTATCATTCTTACAAAGTGCTTTCATTTCCTCTACCATCGCAAGTTTCCACTCAGAGATAGCAAGAGCATCCTAAAAATGATTAGGTATACTAACAGAGGAAATTTTTGACACAAAGGCTCTATATGAGGAAGACAAGTGAGAATAGGACACAAAGTTAGAGATAGGATGGTGAGTATATGATCTTACACCCTTTCGTTTGGCAATAGGTATATCAAGGTCAGTAGGCTCAGGAATAGTAATATCAGTAGACTCAAAGGGAACACAAGGGTGACCTAGACTCTCATCAGGAGAAGGGAGATAGCAGTGGATGATTAGAACTGATCTCTTGCATCCGAGTAACCTTTTGCCTTTCTTTGTCTCTAACATAGACTTGCCCTTCCTTGTCCTTGATGACATCAAATTCTGGATTGGTAGTACCATTTGGTTGCTCCTAGACAATCTCCACACCTTGTAATGGTCCAGGAGCAATAGGAACTGGAACAATAGGAATCCTTTCATACCTCCCTTCATACCAAGGCCCCCCTGAAGAGATGACTGTGACACCGAACAGGAGAAGTAGGACTGGGACTCGAAGAAAGTGACATCTATGGAGACAAACCACTTACTAGATGGTGGGTGATAACACTTATACCTTTTTTGAGTTGGCGAATACCCCAAGACACACTTGAGAGAGCGAGGATCCAACTTACCCCGAGTAAGGAATGATTATGGACAAAACAAACACAGCCAAAGATTTTAGGAGAAATGAAAAACTTAGACTTGGAACCAAAGAGGACCAGGAGAGAAGCTTGTTTCTACAACACTTGGGTAGGAAGACGATTAATAAGATATGCAGCAGTGAGAACAGCCTCGCCCTAGTAGGACCAAGGCACACCCATAAAGAAACACATACAGTGAGCCATATTAAGAAGGCGACGATTCTTGCGCTTGGCAACCCCATTTTGCTAAGGGGTATCAATGCAAGAGGTTTGATGGATAATGCCATGTGTGGAAAAATAGCTTGCTAACCCAGAAACATTGTATTCACCTCCGTTATCAGAACGTAATATTTTAACAACTGCACCAAATTGAGTACCAATCATTTAATGAAAATTTTGAAACACCGAAAAGACCTCTCTCTTTTCTTTCAAGAGATACACCCAAGTAGGAGAAAAGTCATCAATAAAGGTGACAAACCATCTATGACCTTTCAAAGACACAACACGAGTTGGACCCCAAACATCCAAATGTATCAAGGAAAAAGGTACTACACTTTTATCAAGACTAGGAACAAAAGAAACTCTGTGATGTTTGCCAAGTTGATAGGACTCACAATGAAAGTCAGAAATAAATGCCTAAGTAATATGCCAATGCCATAGCCACAAGTCCTCCTTGGTGGTTGGAAATTGGACGGAATGATGAGCTAGCTTGTCTGTTTGATCCAGAATATAGAGACCATGTTCCATTCTACCACTGCCAATCGTTCTCCTCATGATAAGGTCCTGAAACAAACAATGATCCGGGAAAAAGGTAATACTATAGTTTATATCCCGAGTAAGACAACTCAATGATAAAAGATTAATAGCGAAATTTGGAACATGTAAAACAGATGACAAAGGTATAGAAGGAGTTGCACGAATTAAACCTTTCCCCAGAAACAGAAGAAATAGTACCATCTGCAATCTTAACTTTGTCTTGACCAGAAGTGGACTTATAGTCTGAGAAGAGATCAGACGACCCAAACATATAATCTGAGGTACCAGAATCAATAATCCATGGTAAAGACTTATGGGACAGAAAAACACTAGGAGAAAAGGCTAAGTTACCTGAGTGGGCAAACGAAGAGAAAGGTGCACCTATAGGAGTAGTGGAAGACCGGCGGTCCAACAAATGATGCAAGACATCCTCAAGTTCAGAAGTAGATATGCTGGACATAGCATCAGAAGACAGAACACTTGGAGCACCCAGAGCAGAGTCATGTGAGTCAACTGCACTAGACTGATGAGTACGAGAGTGAGGGCCACGTCCTCTCAACTGTCCTGATCGACCTCCTCTATTACCAAACCGATCACAACTATGAAGCTTCCAACATGTCTCATGGGTATGCCTCGGCCGGCGACAGTAATCACAGAACAAATTATCGTTCCTTGAAGGATGAGAAGAAGGAAGTGACAAACCAGCCCCATCCCGAGAAGGTGTAGAAAGTAATGCTGAACGGTCTGTAGAAGTTGGTGGTAACATACCAAAGGGACGACTCCCTTCATTCTGGACAGGAGCAAAGGCCTCCTGAAAGAGATGGAAGAACATTCATGCCAAGGACACGACTCCGGATAGGGTCAAACTCCACATTGAGGCCTTCTAAGAACTTGAAGACCCTCTCTTGTCCAAGAAACTTCCGGTAACTAGCTGAATCAACTGTGCAGACAGGCTTGTAATCCAGGAGGTTATCTAGGCGTTTCCAACCATTAGTTAGAAAAGTGTAACACTTAAGAACTATCTGCTCCCCTTGAATTGAACGCTCAATCGATTGGCGCAACTCAAATGATTGAGAAAAATTCCCTTTCCGGGAATATGTAGTAACTACTGCCTCCCAAACATCCTGAGCAATCTCCATGAACAAGTAATCTTCACCAATCTCAGCGATCATGGAATGAATAAGCCATCCCTTGATCAAAGAGTTGGTAATCTCCCATTGATCATAGCCGGAATCAGTAATATCTGGTGCTTGAATCCTCCCATCAACATATCACATCTTCCCTCTACTCTTCAGAAAAGTGTCACTGAGATCATGCAAGGTAATTCTGACCATTAAATAGAGAGGTGGTGCTTTTAAGGCTAGGGTTGTGGTTTTCGGATACAGTAGTCATAATGGGACACTTCCCTTTAGATGGTTGACTATTAGTGATAGATTCACTGGTAAATTCAACCATCCTAGTATGCTACTATCTAAACAACCACCTGCAACAATCACTACTACAGAAAAAAGAGAGAGGAAGAAACAGTAACTGGAAACAGAGCACAGACAATATCACCCACAGAGCATTAAGGGAGTAGAATAATTAGGCAAAGTCAAGTAATAGGGCCATATATTGAACCCCCCCCCCCCAAAAAAAAAAAAAAAAAAAAAAAAAAAAAAAACCAACTATTAAAGCATGAAAACAGTCCCACCAATCAAAACAAGAGGATGAGAGACACAACAACTTAAGGGAAAGATCGGGCACAACAGGTCACTCAAACCATGGGTATGAGTCTGTCGACACTTTCAGGAGTCTGTTGACACTTTTATGGGGCTGTCAGCACTGATAGAAGAGAGATGGATGAGTAGCGAGGCTGACCCAAGATGAATGGGTGAGTCGTGAGTCTGACCCAAGCACTGCTGGTGAGCCGCAACCCCTAGAACCACATAGGTGTGGCCCGAAATCAGCCAAGGTATGTCGGAAAAAGGAGAAGAGGCTCTGACTGGTGTTGGGTAGACTGTAGGGCTAGCGACTGGTGGTGGGTGATGAGAGAAGGTTGTCGGCTGATGGTGGCTAATGGAGAATGAGGTGAGTTGGCTCTGATACTATGTTTGTTTGAGGAAAACAAAACTTAGGGTTGATAATGACATCACACCCCTTATATATTAATTAACCCAAGAAGATTACAAGGAAGGAATCAAACATATAATCTAAATAAGGAAACAAACATATATATCTGGACTAATATACAAAGCAAGCAATCCAATTTGATGTAGACCTCATTTTGAAGCTATGTCATGCTAAAAATGAATCCATATTAATTACTTTGGAAAAATTAACATAATCCTAAAACCTACACCCATCCATAATGCTCTAATGTCTCATATAACTCCTTCCAATGACATTGTCTAAAAAAATAAAAATAAAAAACTCCTTTCAATTACAACTTCATCTCTCATGAACCAAGGCCACAGGAGTTCATCGTAAGGTATTCTCCATGCATTTCCATAATGGTAACTATTCAATAAAGTATGAGCATGGATAATCTTTGCTTCGAGGTGAAAATTCAATGGGTGCCTTCATAGATCTCCTACATAGGGGTAGGGGTACCTCTAGTGTAAGTATTGTAGGGGCAAGCTTCTTGAAGGAATCCAACAGACAATACGTGTGTCATGTGGCAAATAGTAGTTGAATGATGTGCCTCATGTCAACAGTGAGTTTAGTCTTTGGACTAAAATAGGTCAGTATCTTTTCTTCATCTTCTCTTCCTCAACTACATTTCTTTTTCTCTTCCTCGATTACATGTCTTTACCTATCCTACACATGCATGTAAAAATGTATGTGTATGATTTCTCATTATTACATTCAAATTCAATATAGATATTAGTACAATATATTTTGTGTGAATTTTTATTATTTATTTCTTCACCTTCCCTTCAATCTTTCTTTGATATTGCTATCTTAGACAAGAGGGGTGTCCATCTTTGCTATTGAGATAATTGGCCTCACTGATAAGTGATCAGTGACCAATAGCTGAAAAAAAATTCAGTGAGGATTCTAGAGAGGAATGCATAGAAAAAGGGGTTATTAATTGGCATTGTTTAAGGGGTTAAGCATATATTTGTATATGTATATTTTTTGGGTGTTGTATTGCATTTACAACACCTAATCAGAGAAGAAAAAACACTACAGCACCTCAAGCCTAAAGCAACTTACGTGCTTGCCCAAGGCCCTGTGCAGAAAAAAGCCCTATTTTTTTTAAATATATTTTATGCAGTGTACATATCAAAACAAAATCAGCAGTTGAAATCAAATTGATAAACTCAAAAGTAATCAAATTGGAGTAGTTTTCGCAATTGCAAATATACGGATTTTTTTGGTTTTCTATATAACTTCAAAAGGTAAATCACTAAATGATGATAATTTGAAGAAATATTGTCTTAACCTTGAATGTCATCCTAAACATTACTCTTTCTGATATAGTAATGTTATAGTAATGACACCTCACACATTAACCATATCATGTGATGAACTCTACAAAATATTAGTAATGGTGCGCTTTCTAAATGAAACAAATGTTTAATTAGTGTCATGTGAGGTGTCACAATAGATGGTACCCAAATGTGGTTACTCTAGCACTATTCTTTCTAATATTGATGTTTCACATTTATTTTAAAAATTAAAGGTTTTAAAATAAGTTTTGCAAATCGAAGAATATACCTTTAATTGATGTAATGAATCATATAAAAAGTTTAAATCATTTCCTAAATGCAGGCATTAGTAACATAATATTATTGACAATTATAACATTCACTTTTAAAACAAAAGTTTCTTAAAATTAAAACTGTAAAATTAGACCAAAAAATCATTGCTAAAATCATCGCTAAAAATAATTTTTTGTGACGATTTTTTGCACATGACACTAAAAATTGACAATTAGTGATTTTTTTGTCACGATTTTATAAATTGTCACTAAAACTTACAATTCGTGATGCTCTTCTGTAACGAATTTTTCAAACTGTCACTGAAAGTTGAAAATTTAGTAACTAATGAATTTACAAGATATGCATTAAACAATAACAAAACAAGACTCATACTATAGTTTCAAATATATATCTATGTACACATACATATAGATTTTGGAATTCAAACAAATAGATGAAACAAAGCTTTTCCGAGTTTGTGATGGATGGTTTTGGCAGATAAATTGAGTGAGACATTCAAGGCATATTTTGTCTTCTCAAATTTATTAAATTTGACGATAAAAATGAATTTTATATAACATTATGACTACTAGCAAAATAGTGTTAAAAAAAATGCTTTCCGTTAAGACAACAGTGTCATAAGTCATTTCAAAAATCACAAAAGCCGATTTGAAAGTGTCAGAAACCTAAAGGGAGGTTAGTGTATGTGAAATTTACTCAAATAAAAATAAGAATAATTTGATGCTTGTGGAGCTGAAAAAGGCTGCTACCCTTGGGATTTAATGATGAGGAATTAGGCTTAGACACTTGCCTTGTATGAGGAAACAAACATCAAAGATCAAGCTCCTGCAGTTGCAGGTACTTCACAAATTCCTTGATTTCACAAGGAATCCTTCCCAATCCAAGATGATAGAGCCTTTAAAACTCCATCAAGCATTTGAATAATCTCCATAATCAGCACGCGGGTCCTTTATCAAAGTCCCTGCACCATTATCATAATGAGGGTGCAAATTAAAACTAGATCGATGAGTCCAAACCTGATCCTTAAGGGCCCGTTTGCTTTAGCATTGTAGAGCATGCTGATACTCTACTTGATCAAGTCAATTACCAGTACATGACCTTCAATTTGAGCAAAAACATGAATGAACTTTTGATAGTCATCACAATCAACACAAGAATATATAGTGTGCTAATAAATACCCATAGAATAATATAAAAATAATATCGTATTTGAAATAGCTTAGAAGAAAAGGAACAGTTGTCAATTCAACAAGAATTTTCTGTTGCCATTGAATTATGTCAGCATTGAGGTATGTGAGTGAGTGGGGTTGCTTAGAGCGGCAGCAGCGATATGAACCTTCAAAAGAGGGGAATCAAAAATTTTGACAAGGTGAAAGAATTATGAGGCATTATGCACAAGATACATAAACGGAAATTATAAATCAACAATAGGCATTCGAACAAGGCAAGAATTGCCTCACCCACTACTGGGAAAAGTATCAACTTCTGAATGGTTCATTCATTGATCTTTTTATTTTTATTTTTTTTTCTTCCATTTAACAATGACAATCTTATCTATGATGTAAAACCTCTCAAGCTTTGTATAAATCTCATAGAGCACAAAGACCAACCATTATTGTAATTTGTAACTAATTTAGCATACTACAACAGTGATGCCTCTTCCAACACCACATTCAGAGACATTTAATCATCTACACTATAAATACCATAAATTCTCCTTCAGAGAACTAGTTGATGACCACATACCTAAGAAAGAAATCTCCAAAATTACCACCGGCTGTCATTTGTCCTAAATCCCTCAGAAATGACCACTTGTACATAATTCAGGGGACTGAAAAAGAATCTACTTGAATTTGTAAAATGTGAATTAAAATACTGCAGAGAGAGAGAGGTAACAAATAGTCTACAAGAATCTACAACATGTGAAAATAATGTTGCAAGGTAATGTAGCAGCAAGTCCAAAATAGTTGATGGAGAAGTATAAGCCCATGTCAATATATAACAAAAAAAAGAAAAAAAAAAAGGAGCTTCACCTAATAATATATATTATAATATGTGTGTAGCTTTGTCTTCACAGCTTAAGCACTTTACTCAATCTCTTGCATTCCATGACTATCTTTGGGCATATACTTCTTTATCACTTCTTGGACAGCAGCATCTTGTCCTTTAGTTGTGAGTATATCTATGACCAAGGAAGAATTGGATGCATCTGCTGAAAAACCCCTTTGAACCATTTCCTCAACCAGTATTAATGCCTCATAGCACTTGTGTTGTCCAATAAATCCTCGGATAATAGTGTTGTAAGTGACATCATTTGGCAAACAACCATTATGTTCCATTTTAACAAACAACTCTTTAGCGTCATGCAGTAGGCCTTCTTCACAAAAACCTTGTATCATCGTAGTGTATGTCTTAACATCAGGTTGTAAACCCTTGGAAGAAAGGTTACTGAAAAGGGCCCTTGCAGTATCAAGAATCAATGCTGGCATAATCTGTATGACCTACCTTCCAACAGGTGAACAATTAGCTGATGTGCTAACGAAGGGACTACACAAGAAGCAATTTGATAAGCTGACTAGCAAGCTGGCTATGGAAGATATCTTCAAACCAGCTTGAGGGGGAGTGCTGGAAATTTGTGTTAATGTATATAATAAGATAGTGGCGTGTATATAATATGATAGTGGTAGTTAGTGGTAATATATAATATGTAAGTGGCATATAATGGGTTATGATGATGTTTGTAATATCTCCTATATAAGGAGTGTCATTTGGTCTTGTAAGATAAGAAGTTTTGAATATAACATAAATATATTCCTTCTTCCTCATATTTTCGGAGTTCTTCTTCCTCATATTTTCTAAGTAAATATACAGATTTTTTTGGTTTTTTATGTAACCTCAAAAGGTAAATCACTAAATGATGATAATTTGAAGAAATATTGTCTTAACCTTGAATGTCATCCTAAACATTACTCTTTCTGATATAGTAATGTTATAGTAATGACACCTCACACATTAACCATATCATGTGATGAACTCTACAAAATATTAGTAATGGTGCGCTTTCTAAATGAAACAAATGTTTAATTAGTGTCATGTGAGGTGTCACAATAGATGGTACCCAAATGTGGTTACTCGAGCACTATTCTTTCCAATATTGATGGTTTACATTTATTTTAAAAATTAAAGGTTTAAAATAAGTTTTGCAAATAAAAGAATATACCTTAAATTGATGTATTGAATCATATAAAAAGTTTAAATCATTTCCCAAATGCAGGCATTACTAACATAATATTATTGACAATTATAACATTCACTTTTAAAAAAGAAGTTTTTTAAAATTAAAACTGTAAAATTACACCTAAGATTGATTAGGTCACAAGAAAAAAATATTGTATCAAGCATAATATAAATCTGAAAATGCTATGTTAGAAAACTTGAACATAAAGACTTAGTGTAATTTTGCATCTCAAGAAGTGAGAAAAGTAAATTTTAAATAAAAATTACAATGTACAAAAATTATAAAGGACCATTTAGATTTTTCTCAAAAGACCTCAAACAAGCTTGAGTTGCCTCGGAAAAAATGTATAAAACTTAATTCCTTTGTTCTTTTGTCTATCAATAATTTTAAAAATTAAAGAAAATGAGATGTCTAGTTAATTTTATGTGTTTAGTGATTCAAATTTGAAATTTTAGTTTTCATCCAATAAATTATGCACCACAACTTCTATTATCTATTCTATTCTATTCTATTTTGTCTATTCTATTCTACTATATAAAGCATGCACCTAAGTTGGTGTGAATTGCCACATTTTTCCCTTTCCAAGAATGCCCTACCCATTTCCAAACTGTGTCCTTCTACAACTATCTATGGCTCAGTTTGGTTAGATAGATAATATAGGAAAATGAAAAAAATAAATAATAAAAAATCTGTGTTTGTTTAGATAGAGAGTTCTAGAAAGTAATAGAAACTAAAATTTCTTGGTTAGGCTAATTTCTTGCAAAATATACAGGGAAATTTATTTTCCCCACAAATTTTTGTTTTCCTTTTTACCCATTTTTATCTCCATCATTATATCACCAAAAAAATTAGATCAAAAATTACAAATGCATCGCATTTACACCACCGCTAGTATATACATAGACAGACAGATATCAGCCACATAAATTTTGAAATATGAAAATAATATGTTATTGAAAAGAAGTAACAAGCTAACAGAAAATGACCTCAAATCGACTACTAAAATTGCTGATAAAAAAAAATAAAAATTGATTACTAAAATTTCTCAAATAACAATCACATTTGAGATAAATTTGTTTCTTGAGGTAAAATCAAACCTTAGTGAATGAATATCAATTCATTCACTTTTATATTAATTAACCTAACTTACAAGGAGAGCCCTAAGGCATGAAATCAGGAACAGATAATTACAAATATATAAGATGATTACAAATATATAAGAATATTCTAACACTCCCCCTCAAGCTGGTGCGAAGATATCTCTCATCCCCAGCTTGCGAAGAATATCATGAAATGGGATATTCCCAACCCCCTTTGTAAGGATATCAGCGAGTTGTTCACCAGACTTCACAAATGGAGTACATATTGTGCCGCTAGTGAGTTTTTCCTTGATGAAGTGACGATCAATCTCAACATGTTTTGTCCTGTCATGTTGAACTGGATTGTGAGCTATGTTGATGGCAGCTTTATTATCACAATATAGTCGCATGGAATCCATTTGATCTATCCCCAGATCACTCAACAACAACTTGATCCACAAGAGTTCACACACACGTTGTGCCATGGCTCTAAACTTTGCCTCCGCACTAGACCGGGCAACCACATTTTGTTTCTTACTGCTCCAAGTAACCAGATTCCCTCCAACAAAGGTACAATACCCCGAAGTGGACCTCCTATCAGTTATTGATCCTGCCCAATCTGCATCCGTATAGGCTTCCACACTAAGATGATCGTGTTTGGAAAAATAAAGGCCCTTTCCAGGAGAAGATTTTAAGTATCTCAAAATCCTCATAACTGTCTCCAAGTGTATTGCATGAGGAGCATGCATGAACTGGCTAACTATACTAACTGCAATATTGATATCAGGACGAGAACTAAATGAGCTTACCCACTAACCGCTGATAACTCCCCCTATCAACAGCTGCTCTCTAGAGGAGTGTCACAGGCTTTGCTTCCAAGCATCCCTGTTTCTTTTAACAGGTCAAGGACATATTTTCTCTGACAGATGAAAATCCCATCCTTGGATCTGGCAACTTCAATACCTAAAAAACACTTCAGATTTTCCAAGTCTTTGATCTCAAACTCACTTGCCAAATACTTATTTAGCAGAGGAATTTCCTCAACATCATCCCCTGTAAGCACTATGTCATCCACATACACAATGAGAGCTGTCGTCTTACCATGGGAGGAATGTTTAACAAACAGAGTATGATCAGCCTGACTTTGTTTGAAACCATACTTCACCATCGCTTGAGTAAATCTCTCAAACCAAGCCCTTGGAGACTGTTTGAGACCATATAGTGACTTTCGAAGTCGACATACCTTCCACTTTATCTGAAGATCTTCAAAACCAGGGGGAATGTCCATATACACCTCTTCTTCTAGGTCACCATGGAGGAAAGCATTCTTCACATCAAACTGGTGAAGTGGCCAATCCAAATTAGCTGCAAGAGAAAGGAGTACCCTGACAGAATTCATCTTCGCAACTGGAGCAAATGTCTCTTGATAGTCCACCCCATATGTTTAAGTAAAACCCTTTGCTACAAGTCGAGCCTTATAACACTCAACTGAACCATCTGCCTTGTGCTTTACGGTATACACTCATTTGCATCCCACAGTTCGCTTGCCCCTAGGTAACTCAGTCAATTCCCAAGTGCCATTCTTACGTAGTGCTTTCATTTCCTCAATAATAGCAAGTTTCCACTCAGAGGTAGTGAGAGCATCCTGAAAATGATTAGGTATACTCACAGAAAAAATGTTGGACACAAAGGCTCTATATGAGGACGACAAATGAGAGTATGACACAAAATTAGGCTGACAAGGTTATCATGGGGAGGACGATTGGCAGTGGTAAAGTAGATCATGGTCTCTATATCTTGGATTAGGCTGACAAGGTTGCACATCATTCTATCCAGTCTCCAACCACCAAGGACGATTTATGGCTGTGGCATCGACGTCTTGGTCATCCCTCCTTTTATCTGCTTCAACATTTATTTCCTTCTGTTTTTACCAAAAATAATGTGTCTGACTTTCAATGCGAGTCTTGTCAACTTGGCAAACAAACACGAGCTTATTTTGCTCCTCGTATTAATAAAAGCGTAGTTTTTTTTTCTTTAATACATTCTGATGTTTGGGGTCCATCTCGTGTTGTGTCATTGAAAGGCCATAGATGGTTTGTCACGTTTATTGATGATTTTTCCCGTACTACTTGGGTGTATCTCATGAAAGAAAAGAGTGAGGTTTTCTCTGTATTTCAAAATTTTCATAAAATGCTTTGTACTCAATTTGGGGCTATTGTCAAAATCTTACGTTCTGATAATGGGGGTAAATACATTGATTCGGGGTTAGAGAGATATTTTTCTACTCATGGCATTATCCATCTTGCACCAATACCCCGCAACAAAATGGAGTGGCGGAGCGCAAGAATCGTCATCTTCTTGACATGGCTCGGTGTATGTGTTTTTCTATGGGTATGCCTCGGTCCCATTGGGGCGAGGCTGTTCTCACCGCTGCATATCTCATTAATCGTCTTCCTACTCTAGTATTGCATAAACAGGCTCCTCTCTAGGTTCTCTTAGGGTCCGCGTCTCTGTTTTCCATTTCTCCAAAAATCTTTGGGTGTGTCTGTTTTGTTCACAATCATTCCCGTACTCGTGATAAGTTGGACCCTCGCTCTCTCAAGTGTGTTTTCCTCGGTTACTCCCCTACTCAAAAGGGATATAAGTGTTATCATCCTCCTTCTCGTAAGTGGTTTGTGTCCATGGATGTCACATTCTTTGAGTCCCAGTCTTACTTTTTGTCTTCTCCGGTGCCCCAATCATCCCTTCAGGGGGAGCCTTGGTGTGAAGAGATTCCTGTTGTCTCTGTTACTCCTATGGTGGAATCTAATGCTACCAAGGATAGGGAAGGGCAAGTTTATGTCAGGGACAAAGACAAATAGAAAGTTACTTGGATACAAGAGACCACTTCTGCTCACCCACTGCTATCTCCTACTTCTGATAAGAGTCCAGGTAACTTTGACCCTGTTGTTTCTCTTGAGTCTACTGATATTGCTATTCCTGACACTACTGATCTTGATATTCCTATTGCCAAGAGAAAGGGTGTGAGATCTTGCACTCAACATCCTATCTCTAATTTTGTGTCATACTCTCATTTGTCGTCCTCATATAGAGTCTTTGTGTCCAACATTTCTTCTGTGAATATACCTAATCATTTTCAGAATGCTCTCACAACCTCTGAGTGGAAACTTGCTATGATTGAGGAAATGAAAGCACTTCGTAAAAATGGCACTTGGGAATTGACTGAGTTACCTAGGGGCAAGCGAACTTTGTCGTGTCTTGAAGAGGACTTATAGTCGGAGAAAAGATCAGAAGATCCAAACATATGATCTGAGGCACCAGAATCAATAATCCATGGGACAGACTTATGGGATAGGAAAGCGCTAGGAAGAGAGGCTAAGTTACCTAATCGGGCAAATGAAGAAGAGGATGAATCCGGAGGGGTGGTAGAAGACCGGCGGTCCAACAAGTGACGCAAAACATCCTCAAACTCAGAAGAAGACAAGCCAGATACCCCATCAGAGGACAAGCCAACTGGGGCTGGAGTGGAATCAAGTATGCCAACTGCACTGGACTGATGGGCTCGTGGATTAAAGCCACGTCCTCTAGACTGGCTGGACCGGCCTCCGCGAGAACCAGACCGATCACCTCAACCGCCGGATGGAGCCCCATGAAGCTTCCAACAGGTCTCACGAGTATGTCGTAGCTTGTGGCAGTAATCACAGAACAAAGGGTCCTTTGTAGAAGGATTAGGAAAAGCACGAGGCAGAGTGGTCCCATCTCGAGGAGGAACAGAAAGTAAGGCAGAGCGTTCTGGAGAAGCAGTTGGCATCATAGCAGAACGACGACTCTCCTCATTCTGTACTTAAGGCCTCCTGAAGAGAAGGAAGAGTATCCATGTCAAGTACACGACTCCGAACTGGATCAAATTCCAGATTAAGACCTTCCAGGAACTTGAATACCCTCTCCTGTGCAATAAACTTCATGTAGCCAACGAAATCAGTAGTGCAAACCGGTTTATAGTCCTGTAGGTGATCAAGACGTTTCCAGCCATTGGTAAGAAATGTGAAGTATTGAAGAACAGTCTGCTTCCCCTGTACGGAGCGCTTGATGGAACGACGCAACACAAAGGTCTGCGAAAAATTACCCTTGCGAGAATAGGTGGCAGCCACAGCTTCCCAAACATCCCGGGCAATTTCCATGGACAAGTAGCCTTCACCAATATCCGGAACCATAGAATGAATAAGCCACCCCATAATCAAGGAGTTAGTAATCTCCCATTGGTCATAACCAGTATCATTGGTCCCTGGTGGTTGAACCCTTCCATCAACATAACCCATCTTCCCCTTGCTCTTCAAAAAGAGTCAAGACTCTACGACCAGGCTAGATAATTCTGACCATTAAACAGCGAGGTGGTAATTTTGAGGCTAGGATTGTAGTTTTCGGATTGAGTAGGCATAATGAGGCTCTCCACTTGAGGTGGCTGGATACGAGTGGTGGATTCACTAGTAATTTCGGTCATCTGAGTATGCTACTTATTTAAACCACAACCAGCAGAATCACAACTATGGAAGGAAGAGAACAACTAAGTAATGACAATTACAGACCACTATGGGAGCATGAAAATCAAATTATTGGGGCCATCTATTGACCCAAAAATAAATTAAAAAATAATACTGAAATTAGAACCTCAATCAAAACAATTTTTTTTTTTTTTTTTTTGAATAAGGTATCACGATCAATCAGTATCTCAGTAGCAAACCTCACAGAGACATGCGAGAAGCCACAGAGGAACGAAGGGACTGCCGACTAGACTGAAACAGACTGTCGAACTGCCAAAAGGTGTCGTTTGGTCCTGGGTGAACCCTGACGGAAGGCGTCTGGTCCTGGGTGGCCTCCGACTGGCTTCGTCCTGGCTTGGATGGCCTCCGACGGTTGTCGGCTGAGCCTGGAAGGCCTGCTGCTGCGTGCATAAGCCCTAACGGAAGTCGTCTGGTCCTGGGTTACCTCCGACTGGTGTCGTCCTGGCCTCTATGGCCTCCGATGGCTGTCGACTGAGCTTGGAAGGCCTGCTGCAGCGTGCACAAGCCCCAGATAGCTAAATGAGAGGCCGAAAAATGGTGATTATGGGTTGGCTGGAGATGGATTTTTTCAAAGTGGTGATGGAAGTTGGCGAAAGAAGCTGGGTTTAGGGTTTGGGCTCTGATACCATGTTTCTTGAGGTAAAATCAAACCTTAGTGAATGAATATCAATTCATTCACTTTTATATTAATTAACCTAACTTACAAGGAGAGCCCTAAGGCATGAAATCAGGAACAGATAATTACAAATATATAAGATGATTTCAAATATATAAGAATATTCTAACAAAATTAAGTCACATATATAACTGTATAAGCAAGATTACATGCATAAACAAATAATAAAATTTTGAAATAGAAGATAAAAATTAAAGAGAGAGAGATAGAGAGAGACAGATAGAGAAGAACTCAACAGTTGAAGAACTTCAATGAACTTGTCGTGTTCTTCTTCGGTCCAGCTCTCTCTAGACTTGGTTATGGTGTAGGGTTTCCTCACCTTGTTGCCTCAGGAGTCAGTCAGTGTTGAGTTCGCCATGGATTGAGGGTTTGAAGAGCTCGAATTCATGGTGGTGATCGCATAGATTTTCTACAGAGAGAAAGATATATATATACATATATATATAGAGAGAGAGAGAGAGAGAGAGCCGAGGACTGAAACTTGCAAGGGCAGCTTGGGTTTTGTGTGAAATGGTGATTGGTGAATGATCTCAAGCCACTCAATTAATCATCTACTGAAAGAAAGCTCTACTTTGCCAATTTATTCCCATAAGAAATCATCGTGTGACACGTATACTTGTTAATTAATAACTAACAATATGTTTGAACAAGTTGTACGGAATAAATTAAAAAAAAAAAAGGTAAACTACAAATAGATCTTAATAGTTTGACTTAATTCCCATCAAGTCCTATTGAAAATAAGTTCTAATAAAATCGTCGCTAAAAATAATTTTTTGTGATGATTTTTTTCACGTCACTAAAAATTGACAACTAGTGATTTTTTTTTTCTTTGTCACGATTTTATAAATTGTCGCTAAAACTTGCAATTAGTGACGCTTTTCTATGACAAAATTTTCAAACTATCGCTGAAAGTTGAAAATTTAGTGACGAATGAATTTACAAGATATCCATTAAACAATAATAAAACAAGACTCATACTATAGTTTCAAATATATATATATCTATGTACACATACATATAAATTTAGGAATTCAAACAAATAGACGAAACAAAGCTTTTCCGAGTGTGATGGATGGCTTCGGCTGATAAATTAAAAATGAATTTTATATAATATTATGACAACAAGCAGCGGGGGAGGCCTAGATTGATGCGGATGTGGCCCATAGGATTAAGGTGGGATGGTGTAAGTGGAGAAGTGCGTCTAAGATACTATGCGATAAACGAATACCCACTAGACTAAAAGGTAAGTTCTATAGAACGGCTATTAGACCAGCGACATTATATGGAACGGAGTGTTGGGCAACCAAGAAACAATATGTAGATAAGATAAGTGTGGCTGAGATGAGGATGCTAAGGTGGATGTGTGGTAAGACTAGACAAGACGGAATTAGGAATGAGTGTATTCAGGAATGGGTAGGAGTAGCACCGATAGAAAATAAGTTGAGAGAGAATCGATTGAGATAGTTTGTTTATATTCAAAGGAGACCAACAGAGGCAGTAGTGAAGAGATGCGATACAGTGATGGTAGATGGAAGTGTTAGGGGACTGGGTAGGCCTAGATTAACGTTGGCTAGCGTTGTAAATAGAGACATGGAGAAGAAGGATTAATGTAGCCAACCCCATTTGATGGGACTTAAAGCTTGGTTTGGTTTGGTTTGGTTTGGTTATTATGACTAGAAGCAAAATAGTTCTAAAAAAATGTTTTCCGTTAACACAACAGTGTGGTAAGTCATTTCAAAAATCACAAAGGCTGAATTTGAAAGTGTCAGAAACCTCAAGAGAGGTCAATGTATGTGTAATTTACCCGAATAAAAATAAGAATAATTCGATGCTTGTGGTGCTGAAAAAGGCTGCTACCCTTGGGATGTAATGATGAGGATTTTGTTAGAATAGTAGAGAGATGAAATAATATGTATTGTATTCCACGAAATTAATCCTATACAATAGAAGACCTGTATAAATAGGCTGAGAAAGAGTATCCTACTAGAAACCTAACTATGGCAATACAAATATATCTAGGAAATCAATACCTAATATATCTAGGAAACTGTACAAGATAGGAAATAACATAGAAAAGGAAATAAAATCAAGGCCTAAACAATGGCCATAAAAAGGGTCCTATTCTAGAATATTCTGTGTACTATATTTCAACACTCCCCCTCAAGCTAGCGTGAAGATATTTGATAAACGCAGCTTGGCAATGAATGACTGAAGCAAAGATGATCCCACGGACTTGGTAAACATGTCTGCTAACTGCTGTGAAGAAGAGACAAAGGATGAACTCACAGTACCAGTCCGAACCTTTTCTCTAATGAAATGTATGTCAACCTCAATATGCTTGGTACGCTCGTGAAACACAGAATCAGAGGATAACATAATGGCAGACTTGTTATCACAAAATAAAGAGGAAGGAGCAGTCTCAGTAAAACCTAACTCTGTCAAAATAGAGCGAAGCCAAAGAAGCTCACATGTTCCTTGTGCCATAGCTCGATACTGCAGAAGACCTAGACACAACTGCTTGCTTCTTACTTTTCCATAATATAAGATGATCACTATAGAAACTACAAAAGCCAGATGTGGAATGTCGATCAATTCTAGATCTTGCATAATCAGCATCAGTGAAACAAGAGAGTCCAGATTGAAGGCCAGCTGTGAAAAACAGTCCCAAACTAGGAGAAGTCTTCAAATACCTCAAAATATGACGAACTGTGCAAAGATGCTCTGTACGAGGTGCATGCATAAATTGACTCGCAACACTAACTGCAAATATCAAGTCAGGTCTAGTGTTGGTCAAATAAATGAGACGCCCTACAAGATGTTGATACGTGCCAGGGTCATCCAACAACTCACCAGACTCTGATGTGAGCTTGACATTAGGATCCGTAGGAGTAGAAACAGGTTTACACCCTAAAATACCAGCATCCTTAAGCAAGTCAAGAGTATACTTTCTTTGAGACAGAGAAATTTCGAGTGTGCAACCTCAATCCCCAAAAAATACTTGAGACTTCCTAGGTCCTTGATATCAAAAGTCTGACCTAAGTTCTCCTTTACTTGACCAATGCCGGTAGAGTCATCACATATGAGAATAATGTCATCTACATAAACCAACAAGATGATACACTGTCCCGTAGAATTACGCTTGATGAAACAAGTATGATCTGAATGGCGCTGAACAAAACCCATGGAGATGATAACAGAATTGAAGTGACCAAACCATGCTCGTAGAGACTATTTCAATCCATGTAGTGATTCGCGTAACCGACACACTTTCCCCAAATACTCCCCCTCAACCCAAAAACCAGGTGGAGGATCCATATAAATCGTCTCAAGTAGATCCCTATGAAGGAACCCGTTCTTGACGTCAAGCTAATGAATGGGCCAAGAATGTGATGCTGCAAAAGAGATGAGGAGACACATAGAAGTAAGATTGGCAACAGCGGCAAAGGTGGTGGCAAAATCCTTGCCAGGAATCCATGTGAAACCTTTGGCCACCAAGCGAAACTTGTAACGGTCAACTGAGCCATCTGCAAGATACTTGATAGTGAATACCCACTTGCAAGCAACGGTGCTTTCCCCAAGACGTAAAGGTACAAGATCCCGAGTATGATTCTGTTCTAAGGTTGCCATCTCAATCTGCATAGCCACTACCCATTTTGGATTTTGAAGGGCCTTTGACACAGAACAAGGAATAGACACCTAGTCAAGTTTGCCAAGGAAAGAGCGATAAGAGTCGGAAACCCTGTCATAGGAAAGATACTGGGAAATGGGATGATTAGTACTACTCAAATAACTCAAACGAGTTGGAGGGTGTCGAGCTCGAGGTGGGTTACGACAAGGCGGTGGAGAAGATGGAGAAGAGTTACCTGACCTAGAGATCGGAGAGGCGGCAGGGAGTAGCTAAGAGCGTAACCGATGAGAGTATATCTGCAGTGGGGGAGGGGAAGGAGGGAAAGGTTGAGGAGAATGAAGGGGAACAACCTTAATCTCAACCTCAACCTCATCCAAAATTAGCACCGAACGAACACTAGAAGAAACGGGTGTATGAGCCTGCAAAGGAGGGTTAGTACCAAAGTATGGAACATCTTCACAAAAAGTAATATCCAAAGTATAATAAAAATGATGAGACACAAGATCATAGCATCTATACCCCGTGGACATGGAAGAGTACCCTAAGAAAATACACCGACTGGACGTGTCATCTAATTTAGTGCGAGTGGGACTCTGATTTTGAACAAAATAGGTACACCCAAAGACACGAGGTAATATAAGAAACAGAGTTGCAGTGGGCAAAAGAATATGGAACAGAGTAAGACCATGCAACACACGACTGGGTGTCCTATTAATGAGGTAAACAACAGTGAGGACAACCATATGCCAATAAGATTTGGGAACATGCATTCCCCAAAGGAGACAGCGGACAACAGACATAATGTAACGGTTTTTGCGTTCAGCAACACCATTTTGTTCAGGGGTTTGAAGACAAGTAAGTTGTTAGAATACCAGTTTGATTAAGATGGAAACGAAATTCATTAGAAATCAACTCCCCACCATTATCAGAACGGATATTCCTAACAATTGTCCGAAATTGAGTTTTAATCATTTGTAAAAACTGAACAAAAATTGAGAACACTTCGGACTTATGACGAAGAAGATAGACCCAAGTGCACCGAGTGTAATCATCAATAAAGATTACATAATATCTATAACCAGAAAAGGCAGTAACCCCCACACATCAGAATGTATAAGGTCAAAGGCAGCAAGAGCACAAGTCATGTGAGGGATATAGCTGGTACGAGTATATTTAGACAACTCACAAACCACGCAATGAAATTTAAAATCTTTGCAAGCTTTATTAAAAGGGGGAAAAAGTTGACATAAATACTGAAAATTAACATGACCTATATGAGCATGCCAAAGTTCTAAAGTTTGAATATTAAAAACACAAGACAAAGAAGCAGACAAAACAAAGGTCCGAAAATTAGCTAAAAAAGAAGTAGAAGGCTCGTTCGGTGGGTCCCTAAAGTAGTAAAGCCCATCACGCTCATAGCCCTTGCCAAAAATCCTATTCGAACTCAGGTCCTATAAAAGACAAGAAGTTAGGGACATGTAAAACAGATGATAAAAGTAATGGTAGGAGATAAAGACATAGTACCCTTATTATGAACAAAAGTTGAAGAACCAACAACGAGGCAAACAAATTGGGCTATGGTAGTAGGGACTGGAGAAGAAAGAAAGAAAAACTCACCCGTCATATGATCATTAGCCCCAGAATCTAGAACCCATGAGGGACTAGCAGATCGAACATGAAAAGCAGTAGATGTACCTGTAGCAAGGGTGGCAACAATGGAAGGTGATGGGCCATGAAAACTAGCAAGGGATCCAAGCTGAGCCTGAAACTGACCAATCTGAGTCTGTAACTCCTGCAAGTTAGGGATAGCTGAAGGC